CGCTGCTCCTCGCACGGCCGCGTGAGTTGAGGCTCCAAGGCCCCAATGTGGGAATTTTTTCCCCCCGCCGGATACCTCCATGCTCTTCCTTACAGCCCTTATCTCCGGGCACGCGGGCGCTTCCCGAGATTCCGAATCCCAGCTGGAAAACCCAAGCAGCTCAGCAGCGTGTGCCCGCTCCGAAGAGCGACACGTGCACCCAGCCACCAGCGCGGAGCAGCCCCAAGGCCGAGTCTCCGGAAAGCTCCTGGTCCCCCCGGCATGGAGAAGAGCCGACCGGCATTCCCAGGGAGAAGCTACCTGTCTCTCCTGAGCAAGCCAAGGGGCGAGGTGCGGGACGCGACCGTTAGGCGGCAGCAGGAAGAAAATCCGGGAAAAGAGTTAGGGATCTGCCGGGACGCCCCGGGGACAAGCAGGCGACGAGGCGAATTGGGGTATTTTCCACAAATTGGGATATTTTCCACCCAGGGCCGCAGCTGATGTCCCTGCGAGCCCGGGATGTCCCTGCGCTGCCACCGGAGCAGGCGGCTCTTTATCCGCCTTGTCCCTAACGCAACCCGGATGAAGAGCAGGAGATCCCGGCGTTCCCAGCAGCTCCTGCCCCTATCCTGGGAGGCGGGAGGCTCCGGCGCCGCTTTGGGAAGCTCGGGAAGCGCCGGGCCCTCGGTACGTACAGTTTCGGCAGGTACCCACCCTGTCGTCAAGTGCTGCTCAGTGTAACAGCTGGGGAGTGGGAAGAGTTTCGGAGGAGTCCGGAGGAAAGAGGGAAGAGACGGTTCAAAGGAAAAACAGGAGAGATTAGGAGGAGAGGAAGGAACTGCGGATGAACGTGAAACGCAGAGAGAAACCAAAAATGACAAGAAAAGAAAGAAAAAAAGAAAAGAAAAAGAGGGGAGGAAAAGAAAACAGAGGAATAAGTGAATTTACGGAGGAATAAGTGAATTTACGGAGAAATAAGTGAATTTACGGAGGAAGAAGAAGTGAATTTGAAGAGAAGGAAGCGGTTGTGGCTTGGGCCTGGTGGTAAGCGAAGCGGCGGGGCCTCCTCATCGCATAGGTGACCCCAAAAGTGTCACTTAACGTCCCCCACGTGTCCCCTGCAAACCGGGGACGGGCCCGGGGGCTTCGTTTATGAAAGAAACGGCCCAAAAACGCCCCCAGCGGCCAGCGACCTACTTGGCGAAACCGATGAAGTCCTCGTGGTTGGTGTTGATGTAGGAGAGCTCGATGTCGATGAGCAGCAGGATCTGGGAAGAGACCGGAGCGTCGGGAAGCGCCAGCCGCGAGAGGGAGCTCCGGGATCGTGAGCCGGCGGAGCGAAGGGAGGAGGAGGATGGGTTGGGATGAAGGGGCTCACCTGGTCCTTGGTCTTGCCCTCCCGCTCGCGGATGTGAGTGGTCACGATCCTCTCCGTCTCCTCCCGTAACCTGGGGTAGGAACCGAGCTGAAAAGAGAGGGAAAAGGCCGGGGAAAACGGCTGCTGATGGGAACGCGGGGACCGCGGGACGCAGCGCGAGCAGCCCCGGAGCCCATTCCCAATGGGAACGGGAGCACGCGTCCCGCCGGAGCCACCTCCTCCTCCCGCCAAGCAGAGCCAGGATTTTCCGGAGCGGAGAGCCAGGATTTTCCGGAGCGGGAGCAAAGCGAGGCGAAGGAGGGGGATTCTCAGCACAGCAAACACCTGGGCAATATATCCTGGCAGGATCCGTGCCGCGGAGCCGGATTAACGCCGGCGCTCTTCCCACCGGCGCTCCCAGGGCTCTGGGAAGAGCCCCGTCCTGCGCCCCGCGGAGAAAGGGGGGAAAAGCACCGGAAAAAGGAGAGAAGAGTGTGAGATTTTCCCCGGAAAATTCCAAGTTAAAGTTAGCCGCATGCATGGGAAAGAGCTACAGCACCCGCCTGGGAAATTCCTTCGGCCCCTCGGAGCGGCTCGGCGGATCCCCTTTGCTGCCCTGACACCTTGGATCGGAATTCCGGCTGCGCGCCGTGCCGGGATGGATTTGCAGTGGTGGCAGGGCCTAGGATGCCCCTTTGCCTCCGAGGTTTCCCTGGAAGCCCCCACGGCGTTCATGAGCTCGGATCATTGAGATCCGGCACTGGCCAAGTGGGAATTCCCAAGTCCCTTTGGGATAAAGGGCCTCCTTCCAGCTCTTGGAGCCACACGGAAGGGTAAAACTTCCCGCTCTGCTCCGAACAACACGTGTTATCCCAAAACGTCATCCCTATGGAGCAGAAACTGGAGCTTCGGCCTCCGCTCCATAGGATGGAGCCTCTCCTCATCCTCACCCTCTGGCCGAGTGGGAATTCCGCTTTTTCTGAGGGGGATTCCTGAGGACTGAAGGAATTTCGGCAGCAGGCGGCGGCTACACCACATTACAGAGCGCACAGGAAATTCCATGGAGCACCGGGAGCCCCGCCGGAGCCGGGCGTTTAAACCGCTCCGCATCCCGCTCTGGACAGCCGGCTCCTTGGCTGCGCTCCGGATCTTGCCCGTTTTGGAGCAAAAGCAGCGCGAGGAGGAAGCGGGAGCTCTTCATCCCGGCCTCTTTCCGGCTTGGACGCGGGAGCAAAGGGAGCTGCTTTGCACGGAGCCGCGCTCGTTATCCCGGGCTTGTTAATTGCGGATGCGGAGCTAGAGGCTTGGTTGCGACGGAGGCTCCCGGAGCCTCCGATTCCCACTGGCTCCCAGAGTGGTTTAAACCGCGGCCGGAGAAGAAGCTGCGTGCGGAAAGAGGAGCCGGGCCTGCTCCTGCTGCGCCGGCATTCCCAAGGCTCCCGGGATGCACAACGCCCCTCCGAGCACTTCCCAAAAACCGGAGCTGGGAGCGCCGCTCCCGAATCCGTGAGGCCTCGGAGGGCCCGGCAACACGGAGCGCTCCGCAGGGCTCAGCTCCACAGCAGGAGAGGGTCAGAAAGCCCCAGTTTGCTCCCAAATTTGGTGGGGTTTTTTGTGTTTTCAGGAGAGGAAAGCTCCACGGCAGGAAAGGGGCAGAAAGCCCCAATTTGCTCCCCAATTTGGCGTTTTTTTGTGTTTTCAGGAGAGGAAAGCTCCACGGCAGGAAAGGGGCAGAAAGCCCCAATTTGCTCCCCAATTTGGCGTTTTTTTGTGTTTTCAGGAGAGGAAAGCTCCACGGCAGGAAAGGGGCAGAAAGCCCCAATTTGCTCCCCAATTTGGCGTTTTTTTGTGTTTTCAGGAGAGGAAAGCTCCACGGCAGGAAAGGGGCAGAAAGCCCCAATTTGCTCCCCAATTTGGCGTTTTTTTGTGTTTTCAGGAGAGGAAAGCTCCACGGCAGGAAAGGGGCAGAAAGCCCCAATTTGCTCCCCAATTTGGCGTTTTTTTGTGTTTTCAGGAGAGGAAAGCTCCACGGCAGGAAAGGGGCAGAAAGCCCCAATTTGCTCCCCAATTTGGCGTTTTTTTGTGTTTTCAGGAGAGGAAAGCTCCACGGCAGGAAAGGGGCAGAAAGCCCCAATTTGCTCCCCAATTTGGCGTTTTTTTGTGTTTTCAGGAGAGGAAAGCTCCACGGCAGGAAAGGGGCAGAAAGCCCCAATTTGCTCCCCAATTTGGCGTTTTTTTGTGTTTTCAGGAGAGGAAAGCTCCACGGCAGGAAAGGGGCAGAAAGCCCCAATTTGCTCCCCAATTTGGCGTTTTTTTGTGTTTTCAGGAGAGGAAAGCTCCACGGCAGGAAAGGGGCAGAAAGCCCCAATTTGCTCCCCAATTTGGCGTTTTTTTGTGTTTTCAGGAGAGGAAAGCTCCACGGCAGGAAAGGGGCAGAAAGCCCCAATTTGCTCCCCAATTTGGCGTTTTTTTGTGTTTTCAGGAGAGGAAAGCTCCACGGCAGGAAAGGGGCAGAAAGCCCCAATTTGCTCCCCAATTTGGCGTTTTTTTGTGTTTTCAGGAGAGGAAAGCTCCACGGCAGGAAAGGGGCAGAAAGCCCCAATTTGCTCCCCAATTTGGCGTTTTTTTGTGTTTTCAGGAGAGGAAAGCTCCACGGCAGGAAAGGGGCAGAAAGCCCCAATTTGCTCCCCAATTTGGCGTTTTTTTGTGTTTTCAGGAGAGGAAAGCTCCACGGCAGGAAAGGGGCAGAAAGCCCCAATTTGCTCCCCAATTTGGCGTTTTTTTGTGTTTTCAGGAGAGGAAAGCTCCACGGCAGGAAAGGGGCAGAAAGCCCCAATTTGCTCCCAAATTTGATGGGTTTTTTTGTGTTTTCGGGAGGGGAAAGCCGGCAGGGCGGAGCGGCGCGGCGCTCCGGGGCCCACGGAGCGGATCGATACCTTACTGGTACACTGCCTAACGGTATTGATTAGCTCCTGGATAACGAGGTCGACGCACTTGAGGCAGGGCTCCTTCAGCTTCACCACCTGCTTTTTCACAATGGCCTCGAACGCCAAGTCCGGGGTGAAGAGCCCCGTCCTGGAGGAATCCGCACGCGGGCCGGGATATAGCGGAGAGAAGGAAAAAAACAGGGATGAGCCGGAGAGGCCGCCGGGATCCCACCCTGGAGAGCGATTCCCTCCCTGGATGGGCGGTCGCGAGGTCCCCCGTGGCCCTTCCCGGATCCGCGGGCAAATCCCAGCGCTCCATCCGCCAAGAGGGGTGAGAGCCAGCGGGAGCGGACGGGAAGCGGCTTTTCCAGGGGCATTTAGGGAGAAGGGATTCCTGGGAGCAGCTCCTTGGGGAGACCATCCAGGTAAGGAAACGCTGGATTTCCCTTTCCCATGGAGATATCCAGCGTGCCAAGGACTCGCACGGAATGCGGTCCCTCCACCCCTGGAAAACGTGGTCTCCACGGGACACGGTTCACCCCGGCTCGGCCGCGCTATTCCGACGGGACACGCCGCCCGGATCCGGCTCTATCCTAAGGGCCGCTCCGACACTTGCCTCACCCCGTGGATGTTTTTAATGGCGTAGCTGATTTCCCGCCTCAAATCCTTCTCGTCAAACTCCATCTGCGGAGGGAGGAATCGCGGGGTCGGAACGCGCCGCGAGCGGCCGCGGAGGCTCCCGCCGCGGCCTCCCGGATCCAGCTTTACCTTCACGAGCTCGAAGGGAAACCTCTCGTGGAAAATGCGGTTGATCCTGGCCCCGCCGGAGAGCTCCAGCGTGTCCACCTGGTCTCCGGAGCCCTCGATCCGCTTCTCGAAGTCCACGCCGAACTGCTGGACCATCCTGCGGAAAACCAGACGGATTAAAGAGCGGATTCCCTCCGTGAGAGTCGCTGGAGCAGAATTGGTGACAATAAAGGAGCCCTTCATGAAGATGGGGGTGACATTAACCCTCCTTTGCCACCGGAGGCCCCAGGATGGAGGACGGGAGAGACCTACTGTAACAAGGCTTTGGTTTTCCGCGTGGGATCGTCGGGACGGAAGTTCTTGTATTCCTCGACCTCCTTCTCCAGGGAGAGCAGCTGGCTCTGGAGTTTGCTGCGCAGCGAGGGCAGCGTCTCCCGAATGTGGTTGGTCAGTTGCTACGGAAAAAGCGGGAATGGGAGCGCGGCCGGAGCGCCCGGGACAGCCACTGCGTGTCCGTGGGCGGCTTTTTGAGCGCCGGAAAAGCGGGAATTCGCCCCAAAGCTCCCGCTCTACCTGGTTGAGGACCTTCTGCAGGTACGGGGTGCCCATGCGGTCGGCCATGTGCCTGTAGGCCGGGTGCGAGAGGAAGAACTTGCGCTCGGCCGCCAGCGCCGCCCGGATGTCCTTCTTCCCGTCGATGTCCTTCTGGCTCCGGTTGACGACGCCGATGTAGCCTGGAGGGGACACAGCGGCTCTGGGAAGGCCCTGCCGAGCGCCTCTTCCCGAAAAGAAGGGAATGTCTTCGGGAAGAGGGTCCCTGGAGATCCCGTTTGGGGATAAGGGATGGCACAGGAATCGCTCTCTGCTTCGGCGCGGGATATGGGATAACGCAAAGGCTCCGCCGCTCCGGTTACCTCTCCGCAGGGGAAGCAGCTTGTTCTCCAGCACATCCCGGGCGTCGGTGCCTTCATCCATGAGATCCAGCTTGGTGATCACTCCGATCGTCCGCAAGCCTGAGGCGGCCGCACAGGGAAGCAACAATCCGCTTTATTCCGCGGGACGCACCGGGAAGAGGCCCGCGGGGGTCAGCAGATCCGCAAATCCGGAACTCCGGCGGCGCTGCCCCCTCCTCAAC